GTATCTGTGTGTTAGGCAGACTGGAGGAGAGCAAGGACCATTGAGGACTGAAACCTCATTGGGCATCAGCTGCTCCAAACACATGCTTTGGAGAATTTCAGAAATTCTGGTATTTTTCAGAACTAAAACTCATTAGCATTGTTGTAAGAGTCTATAAATACAGTGGAGGCATTTACAAATAGACTTTGTAAAACGCTTCCACACCCACAGTCTGAACACTGTCAAAACACCAGCTGCAGCTTCCCTACTTGGAAGGATCAGACCTTTTTTAAAACTACACCTACTGTGTTTTCAAAATAGGCTTGCTTCTGGCCCTGTATAGAAGATAATTATAGCTGAAAGCTTGGGTCTGGCTCTTGGTATGAAGGATCAGAGCTCAGTAGAGAGATAGGGCATCCCAATCTCTTTCCTATCAGAATATGGCTGATACTTTAGAATCTGGGGAAGGGTGACTCAGAGATGGCACTGCCTATTTCTTCAGGGTGGGCCCTCATGACCTTGGCTTCTCAGTCTAGGATTTTTAACTCATCCCAGTTGAGCTCTAGGTGTGGTCCCAAGTGATCACATGGGCATCTGTGGTGGGGGAGACTCTTAAAGAAGAGCTTGTAGCAGGGTCGGGCAATCTCACCTTTTACCTTGATTGTATGGTTGGGGAGAAAGGAGAAAGAGCAGAAGCTGCAAGAACTGTACAGTCTCTAGTATTAAAAGTGAACTTCAAAAGGAAGCAAAAATTCACCTATAGTCTTATCCCAGAGGCAAGTACTATTAACATTTTGGACTTTTTTCCTTCCCCTCTTTTTTCCCTGTGTATGATTTGCTTTATTTCATTGGTTTTATATAGGCATGATCATAGTAAATGTCATATAATTTTGGGAGGAAATGCGTTTATTGTACAAATACATAATGCATTCCCATTTTAGGAAAAAGGCAAATGTCCATTAAATCCAAAGTGTTTTTGAGCTTTCCATGTACCAAGTGCTTAACTGGATGTTAGAAATCACCCATTAGACTACCCTGGAATAACCATAAAATATTCTTCCAGTCGCTTAAAAAAATACCTCTTCCTAATATATCAGAAGTGCACATGGGTGTACATGCATTGAGATGTTTTAAACTTGCCTTTTGTTTCTTGACATTATCACATCATAATATCTTGTTGTCACTGTTTCTAAACATTATTTCAATGGCTATATAAAAGCCTGCCAAATACCATACGTTATTCTACTGTTCTCCTATTTATGAAAGTTTTCAGTTTTTTTTATTATGATGAATAACACTGTGATATACAAATTAACCTGCAAAACCCATTTGGGTGTTTTGGACTATTTCTTTAGCATTTACTCCCAGATGAAAACAGATGAACATCAAGAGGATATACATCCTTTAAAATTACTTCTTTTTACCCTGCACTATTCCCCAAAGGCTTTGAGATAACTTTAAAAATTTAGTTGAGAGCGACAGTAAAGGGAAAGTAAGGATAGAAAAGTAATAGAGCCCAAGATCAGATGAGCACAGTGCAGACTGGTAGGCAGACCTCAGAGATATTGCAGGTCTGATTCCAGACCACCACAATAAAGCAAATGTTGCAATAAAGCAAGTCACACAAACTTTTTGGCTTCCTAGTGTGTATAAGAGTTATGTTTACACTGTACTGTAGTCTATTAAATGTGCAGTAATAGCACTGTGACTGAAAAAAAAAAGTACACATGACTTAATTTTAAAATGTTATTTTTTTAAAAGCTAAGCCTGTTGGGATAATGGCACTAAATGGCCTTTTGCAGGACTGCCGCAAACCTTTGATTTGTAAAAAAAAACAAAAACAAAAGCAAACACACACACACACACACACACACACACACACAAATGAAGCACAATAAAGCAAAGCAGCATACAACGAGGTATGTCTGTCATGTGCAATAGGGTTCTCCACCATCCAGTCAGATGAGACAGGCTCTCATTTGACTGGAAGCTTCCAGCTGTCAAATCAAAGAGGGGAAATGCTGCTCCAAGAGTCACAGTTACCAAAATGTACAAATAAACCACATGTCCCAAAGTAGCCAACTTGTTCTGCAATACATTTACCTGCTGTGCAAAGCTCCTTCTCTCCACCAACACCCTCTTGGATGCTTCCCCCAGCTGCCCACTGGGGTGTCTTCTTAGACCATTCTTCCCTTTGGCAAAAAAAAAAGAAAGAAAGAAAGAAAGAAAGAAAAAAAGAAAGAAAGAAGGAAGGAAGGAAGGAAGGAAGGAAGGAAGGAAGGAAGGAAGGAAGGAAGGAAGGAAGGAAGGAAGGAAGGAAGGAAGGAAGGAAAGAAGCATCCCAGTGGAATTAACTGGACTTTTGTTGCCTGAATAACCTGTTCCTGTGGACAGAACACATGTTCTTTACATTTTAGGTCCTTAGTGTGTTCTCAGAAGGACAGACTGTCTGGCTGTGAGTGTAACTTGAGTTCAGCCGAGACTGGTTTGGCTCAGTGGATAGAGCGTCGGCCTGTGGACTGAAAGGTCCCAGGTTCGATTCAGGTCAAGGACATGTACCTTGGTTGCGGGCACATCCCCAGTGGGGGGTGTGCAGGAGGCAGCTGGTTGGTGATTCTCTCTCATCGATGTTTCTAACTCTCTATCCATCTCTCTTCCTCTCTGTAAAAAATTAATAAAATATATTTTTTTAAAAAGAAGTAACTTGAATTCAGTCTTAGTCTGGAGGAAGACAGCACCAAATCATTCAGGCTCCATAAATACAAAATAATATTAAGCACCTTCAAGACTTTTAAAAATAAAAATGCTTACCCAAGAGGTTTGGCTCAGTAGATAGAGTGGCAGCGCACAGACATTCCAGGGCTTGCAGGCTTGATCCCCAACTCTGGTCAGAGTACATGCAGGAGGCAATCAATTGATGTGTCTCTCTCACATCGATGTTTCTCTCTGTCTCTCCCCCTCCCTTCCACTCTCTTTAAAAATCGATGGGAAAATATCCTCAGGTGAGGATTAACAAAACAAAAAAATAAAATAATTTAAAATTCTTTCCTACTTATATTTCATTTCTAAAACATTTTATTCAGAAAGTTACATTCAAATTAGTGGGCCCTCCCAATGAAATATTTTGAAACAAAGATCCTCAATCCCATTGTTCCTGTTGGCTTGGGATCTGTCCAAGGGATTGTGTCCTATGGGGCCTGAGCTTTGGTAACCAAAGGATGGAGGGGCAATCTGCTACAGTAGCCTGGCCTAAGAGGTCCCCCACCACCTTAGGTATTGGGATGAGGTGGGAAATAAAGGCTCTGCTGTGAAGTTCAAGCTGCTTCCCTTTTCCAAGTACAGTAGTCCACATTCTCCTTGAACTCTGATTCAACCAACCTCAGGATTTTCAACCACGCTCAGAAGAGCCCAGCCAGTCTCATAATGCACACACAGTCAGTCAAAGAGCTGTAATTTTCTCTTGGTGAAGACCAAGCCGTTTGGCTGAGCCCTGGTTCCCCAGAGTTCTCACCTCCGCTTGTCTCATCTTCGGTTGAGGGTGCTTGAGGTTATGCTTGAGGTTGAGTCAGTCTTGTTCGTTTGGGAACTGATGGGGGCTTACTTCCTTCCACTGGAAAGCCCCCATTCTCTACCATCACAGGATATGCATGTCATACTGAGTGCTACCACCACTGCTCCTCTTGAGTGAGCCCCTGTCAACTCCCTCCCTTACCTCCAGGTTTTGTAGATCTACTTCCATTTCCCTCTGCCTCCCATTACCTCCAGGACAAACTGACCCCTGTGGACAGCTCAGCAGTCTCATCTTTGCCAACCTTTCTCCTCTCACTACTCTCTGGAGACCTCAGGCTTTAGCTTTTGGACCTCTGACCACCCTGGATCCTTGCTCAATCATGTGTCTTACTTGATATCATCCAAGGCCCAACTGTAATGCCACCTCCTCCATGTGACCTGGGATTGCCATGCCTATCCCCTGCACTAAACCCATCCTCCCCAGAGGGCTTTGATGTGCCTGTATCTTACACAGCTAGCCTATTACATGTGGGCTTGTGGTTGTCTGTCTTTCTCTTTCTACCACTGAGACCATAAGCCCCTCCAGAGTAGGTACCACCTGGTTTGGCTCTCTCAATACCCGCATCTGTTTCTCATTGTGTGGTTTGGCCTCAGGCCAGGGTGACTGCCGGAAGCCATAACATGGGCTATTTCTGTTGCTTTCCTGGGAGCAACTGCTTGGCTTCTCCCTCTTGTTTTATAGGCAACATTTTTTTTTTCTGATTTCACTGCCATCACAGACCTTTGATAATCTCATTTGGGAGCTGCCCTTTTGGAGGAATTTGGAGGAACCTTCTGTTTGTGCATGAATGAACTGTTTCTCTCATCATCCTGGAGGCCTGTTCCTGTCCCTGAGGGCTGCTCCTTGCCCACATACAGAGGGAAGTCGCCCGTGTCCTGATGGGCATGGGGGCACCCACCCAAGAGCTGTCTAATTTTACTGCCTGTCCCAAGTGCCAGCTTTCAGACTGCCAGATCTCAACTTGACACCTTGCGCCTGTCAACAGCCTGGCTGATGCCTCAGCCCCAGGCCAGCAAACCTTTTCCTCAAGGTTAAAAGTAGTTGACCTTTGACAAGCAGCATTGGCTGCATTCCTTAGTCCTTAAAAGGGAAGCTCCCGGTTACTGTTTGCTGGTGCTTATTTGGCCAGGAGACAGGGGCAGGGCCTGTGTTGTACCCTGTGTACCGGCAGGAGGGTTTGTGGCTAAAGGTGCATTGCTGAACAGTCATTATTAAAATAGCCATCTTTGAAAATGTGTGCTGGAGAGGGGGGCCTCCAGTCTGTCGGTCGCTTTGCACCAAGTCCCGTGTGGCTGGAGAACTCGTTGGCTCCTACTGAGTTCCTCACAGGCGACAGTGCCACCTGCCCCACACCCAGCGCACTCCTTGATTTGCGTGCAACAAGAAAGCTGACAAAATGACAAGGACACACACCAATTATTAAATGCCTGGACTTGTGTTTTGAATGTAGGGGTGACGGTGCAAAGATCGACTTGGTTGGCAGTTCGCTATCCGGCATCTTGGACAAGGATCTCTCGGACCGCAGCAATGACATCGGTGAGTAAGGAGAACATTCTTGCTTTTCTTTGCACAATTTTGAAGGAACTGCAGAGTTCAGTTTTCCCCTTCAAGCAATCTGATGAGAACAAACAGCTATTTAAATGCAAGGCTAACAGCCCTGGTTGGTTTTAGGTGTTAGGTTCCCACATTAACACACAATGCTTGGGATTGTTACTCTCTTTAGCCTTACAAATTCCTTGCAAGGTCCAAAGAAAAGAAATGATTAATAAACCTTTTTGTAAAAGTGAGCATTAGCACTTATATTCATATTTTCCAGTGATTTATGCTTTTAATATAATGAGGTCAGTGGGTGAAAATGCAGAATGGCAAAGTTCATTGTGAACACAGTACTAAGTGTTTTGACTTTGAATTTAAAATGAGCTTTGGTATAATAATTGCCACTTAGTTCAGAACATGAGTGAATTTTTCCCAAGGTCAAGATACTATACCATGTGATAAATGAGAAGGTAGCTAGAGTCTCTGTGGGTAAAAGAGTTGTAGGGTCTTTTGAGGATATGCATGGGTGGGTTCTCGGTCACATATGTGCTGGTTGAGGCCACTATTGGTCTCACTTAGGTGACAGCCTTTTTAAGAAGTTCAAGTTCAAAGACTAATGTGTTTTAGCTTTACAACTTTTATTTGTACCTATCATGGTCATAAGTTAGCACTCTCTCATATTCTACAGAAGAGAGGGGACTACATTTTGAAATTTGCCTTTTTTAAATTAAAATTTTTATTTTAAAATAAGTATAGATTTTGCATGCGGTTATAAGAAATAATGCAGAGATATACATACCCTTTACCAAGGTTCCCCCCATGGTAACATCTTATGAAATTGTAGTGCATGATCACAACCCAGATATTGACGTTAACATAGTCCACCAAGTTCCAAGTTTTATTAGTACTTGTGTTCTATGTAGCTTTGTCACATGTAGATTTGTGTATCTACCACTACAGTCAAGATACAGAACATTCAATGGCCAGTAGGATCCCTCTGTTCCTTTTTTTTAACCACACCCACCTCCCTTTTACCCCTCCTCCTCCCTAACCTCTGGCAGCCACTATCAAGGAATTGATTGGACCTGGAAGATTTCTGGCATCATTTGCTTTGGCTGCTCAATTTAGAAACAAATGTCTGATACTTGGCAGGCCCTGTGAGAAGCACTAGAGCACCTAACACACACATTCTCACCACCTGAGGCTACTCCTCTTCTGGGGTGCCATTTTCTTCTGAACCTGCAAAAAGAGTTGTGTTTTCCAAACTACTGACCTACAGTCTCTGATCTGATCTGTGAGGACTTGGGGGTAGGATGTGTCATTGTCACTGTAAACATCAAAAGTACCGTCTTGTTTCCAGAAACTGTTCAGTATCCTCAGTCAGCTTTTGAGAAGCTCAGTCAGGAAGCATGACCAAGAGCCTCTGACAGTTTGGGCTGACACAATAATAATAGAAACTGGCCTGCTGTAGCATTTGACCTGGTTAAAGGGCAGGGGAGAACAGAGAAGTTATTGGCTGTGAATGCAAAGGAATTGTTGGAATGAGCCTGATTAAGTTTTGGTGCTATTGCTGCAGTTTAGCATTTAGGCCCCATTTCAAGGCAGGGTGGACACAGTGTCAGCGAAGGTACTGTTGTGGGGGATGGAGGGGCTCCCACAAGAAGGGAGGTGTTCTCCCACCTCCAGAATATACAGGGCTGCGCCTTGCTTGTGAAGAATATCGATCTTAGACCTTTGTTTTCTTGGAGTCTAGAGATAACTAAGGTGGCTGTCGCCAAAATATGAATGTCAACGTTTTTCAATCTAATAAGCTAGTTTGTAAATGTTGAAAGCATTGATGGAAAGGGTTAGTCTAAGAGCGCTTTTCATATTGTGGAAGCTAAGCACCAGCTGGATGTATGAGGGAGTCTGTAAAGAGATACTGAGGTTTAGTTTGCTCTTATTTTTACAAGAAGACTATACCAGAAACTGTAATTCCTCAAGCTGATAATTTAGAATACATGTTATTTACATTGTGAGAAATGGTAATTAGCCATTATGAAATCAACCACTACATACTTGAGTGCCTACTACTCAAGTGCAAGGCTGAATGGCTACCTCACACACAGGCCTTGCTTTCCAGGGTGTTGGAGTCTCTTTGGGCCCCTAAGACAGCAAATAAAAAGTGAAGTAACAATGATGGTCTGTATAAATGATGGCTGAGTGGTAGAAAGTAATGGTGCTCAGAGTTGGGGATGTTCCTTGGGACTCAGGGTGTGAGGGCAGGCTCTATAAAGGGGGACAGACTTACCTGGATTTGGAAGTTAGATTTGCTTAGGCAGAGGCAGAGATGTGCAGAGAAATCACATGGGGACTGCTGAGAGCTGAGCATAGATCCGACCTGGCTGCAGTAGAGTGTTTATTCTGGCATGGGGGTTGGGGAGGAGGGGGCTGGAAATGGAAGTCAGGACTGGATTGAATTGGAGAGGGATGGATTTGTAATTGACTCTGCAGGCAGTGGGAGCCATTGATAGGTGACACTCAAGTGACATGAGCAGGTCAAAAATTTCAGATATCACTGATGGAGCTTTTGGGACAAATGAGATGAAGAAAACATGGGTGTCAGGAGTCAGGTTATTTGATAGTTCCGATGAGAGCAGTGAGAGAGAGCCTGAATTAAACTGCTCACAAAAGAATTGTGGAAGATGGGGTAGATGAAAAAGCAGCAATGCGAGAGCATGGCTTGGCCTCTAACAGATTGGATTTAGAAGTGGGGAGGAGAAGAGAATGATTTGTTAGCTATGAGGTTTTAAAGTTGGGTGGCTGGGGAAAAACTGAGTTGGGTAGAAATAAGTATGTCTGAAGGAAGAACTGGTTTTGGGGGAAATGTGATGAATTCATTTAAGCATGTTGAGTTTTGGCTTTGGTCAGACATCCCCAAGTCAGTGCTGGATGAAGGCTGAAAATGGAGGGCCGAGGCTGGGGAGGCAGGCAGGATGACAGAGACTAGGACCTCCCATAAGATAAGAACACAGAGCTGAAGTCTACACACCTGGGTTTGAGTGCTGCGGATTCTGCTGCTTCTTGGCTGAGTGGCCTATAAACTACAGGCTCTGAACTTCTGCTTTTTTATCTGTAAAGAATGCTAAATCTCGCCGAAACTGGTTTGGCTCAGTGGATAGAGCATCAGCCTGCCAACTGAAAGATCCCGGGTTCAATTCTGGTCGATGGCATGTACCTTGGTTGCAAGCACATCTCCAGTAGGGAGTGTGCAAGAGGCAGCTGATCAATGATTCTCTCTCATTGAGGTTCCTAACTCTATATCCCTTTCTGTAAAAAATCAATAAAATATATATTTTTAAAAAGAAAACTAAATCTCCACCAACTTCTCCATCTTGTCTTCCAAAATTATATAAAATCACTGGGTGGGCTGCAAAAAGATAGATATGCTTATTTCTAATGTTTGTGTAGAAGTGATAAAGCCAACAAGAAAAAGAAAATGCTTAGAGAACAAAGAACCTAGGGCTGAAGATCAAATTCTGCTGCGGGGTGCCACATGTATGTAAAGGGAAAGTGGCATCTTGCAACATCACAGGAGCCAATAACAAACAGCTTTATCGAGGTATAATTTATATATTGCATACAAAGGGAGGAGCGGATTTTGAGCAAAATGTCTCCAGGCCCAAATGCAGACGTGCTCTCTAGGAGAATAGGACATTGCAGAGCGACTGGCTCTCTTCTGGGCTGCTTTTGTATCTCTGCTTTTATGGCATGTGTTTATTGCTTTGAATCAAGAAGGAAATTACTTGTACCAGAATGCTTTGTTAGTGCTTCAGACAATTGAAGCTGTCCAAATGTGGGCTGCAGTGAATAGCAGAACACAGTCCTGAAAGCCATTCGCAATCTTCAGTGTTCGCTATAAATAAATGTGTTCCTCTTAATAAAGCTATAATTTTAAATTATGATGATATTAAATTAGAGAACATTGCTTTTGCAGACCCCGCGTGGGTAGCTATCAGCATCTGTCAGCCCCCGGTAATTTAGAATGAAATCAGTTGGTCCCAAACTAAGTTGTTGATGTCAGTTTGAGATATTGTTTGTATCAAAGTACACAGCTATATTTCAAGGAACATAATAGAAAACATAGATGAGCTCCAACACAGGCCTGTGCATGAATAGAAACAAAAATTAAATTGTCCGGTTTTCTCTTGCTGATGGAAGACTCTATGCTCCAATTGAATAGGAGATTATAAGCCTCGAAGTCAAGTGCCATAACATTTACTTCTATTATGCCATATATTGCATTTCCCACGGCATGGCGGGATTTATTATTACACTTCAATACTGCGGAGATTTCCCATTTCTTTTCCACTAAAGCACATGGCAGCCAGCCTCCAGGTGGGAAGCAGCCCAGGAACTAAGCATCTAGTTTCAACTAATTGACTTATCAAAAGACCTTCTTATTCTCCTTCAGTTGCTTGCCTTCTTCGTTTTGACTGTTGTTTTTTCCCATTGTATTTGAGTCTTATCAAACTGTTCCCACTTCCATCTCTTTAAATGGACCCCACCCCCTTTTCACTTGAGGAAGCAGAGGATTTCCCCTCCATCTTCCCTTCCCCACCTACAGACCCACACTTCATTTAGTAGTCAGCTTGGGGCCAAGTGTCAAAAGCTTTCAAGTCAATGGACTTAGGACGAGGATCTGGTTTGAAAGCTATGAAGACTAACTTTAACTTGCCCTCAGTCTCTCACAGATGTCTCTAGGCCTATTTATTTGGACCAGGAAGTGAAAAAGCACTTTCCTACACCCTTAGAATGCTATTAAGAGCTAATCAATTTGGGATGCTGGTAAGGTTCTAAAACTGGATTGTGGCAATGGTCGCACAATTCTGTAAATTTACTAAAAATGACCAAGTTGTATTCTTAAAATGGGTGACCTTCATGGTATACAAAGTATAACTCAATAAAGCTGTTAAAAATGCGGTGGGGGGGGGGTACCTAATTATAATTTTTTTAGCATT